CACCCGCTTCAGTGCCTGCAGCCTCTGAAAAGTGGACGGATTCGCGCCTGCCAATTGGACTGTTCAGTGCCTGGAAAGTGCGCGGCAGCGGCAGGGGAAAGAGAGCGATGGAGTCTCTCGGGTGGGGGTCGCCATGCAGCTCGATGCATGTGCTTCTGGTGCCCTGGTCCGAAGTACCTGGTACTTTGACCTCCATCTCACTTTGCATCCCTGTCAGTATCACAGCATTTCTCGCTGGCTTTCAGAAACATCGTGATAGATGCTGATACTAATCAATGTATGTCAACACAAGTGAATAGCGCCACTTGATGAAGAGGGCAAGAGGTCACACGCACTCACTTTGTTGATGAGTCTGGAGGCCATCTCCTCAAGTCCTGTTTTGACCACTGTGACTCAGGCTCCTCAGGTTCAAGTTGGCAGGGTGGGAAGAGAAGCATGTGGTTGCCAAGTCTGGCGATGAGACATTGTGATGGTGGTCGAGGTGATTTGGTGGTGTGTGCGAGGCGTGGGGTGGGGTGGTTTCAAGCGGCCGCGTCCTCACAGGAACTCCCTGCTGGGACGGATCGGAGAACACGTTCCTTTTTCCAAGTTCGTCGTCTTGGCAAGCTATTCAAGTGTTTTTGTGCCTAGACAGCATGTCGTTGAAAAGGCTTAAAGGCTGTCGAGTGAGGGGGAAAAGTCAAGTGAAATGGTTGGTCTTCATCATTCAAATCATCAGCTATGAGGCGGATAGAAGAGGTGTTGGTAGCCAAGGGAAAGAGCGCGGGATATCCTTCACACTTTCCACAGTTCATCTTCATCAACCTGAAGTTCCTGTTACTTGGCTCAGTCGTGCTTGCCATCCATTGCGTTGTCTACATCGCTCCTGGCCAGTGGCAATCGACTCCTTCCTCACCAGGCTCACCACCATGATTTGAATAGCACACTCGGGCTTAGTAGCAGGAGAGCTGTCAGTTGCCTTTCCGGATTCAATGTCTTATTCGGCTGATAGATCTGGATCATCCGGGCATTACCATCATGGCAACTTTCGTCTTTGTGTGACAGCCAAGTGGTTTTGACCAGACTTCAGGGTCCTTCGCCATTCGGTACTGTTTATACCGAAGGCTGATCTGCGGCGGACACGGATCTGGTACAATACCCGACTGGAAAACTCAAACGTTGGACTCACTTGATGGCGGTCACGTCGATATAGGAACTCTTTTCTGATCTCCATTTCCTTCAAAGGTGGACGTCTAATTTTCGTCCATCTCGGCCTTTCAAGCAGCTGTAAGTCATCCGCCCGCCCATAACCACCTGAAGCAAAACTTCGGAGGTGAAAACGCCGACCCTGTCAACTTGTTCTCATCCGCGTCAAATCGAACTAAAGGTATTTACAAACCATCAAGTTCACCCACGCGCTCGATTTGGCCATGGGCAAACAGCTTCATCCAAAGAGGTGAGGCCGTTGGTTACGCGGTCGCGCGGTTGTGTTGTTGCGTGGTGGTTAAATTGTTAGTGACAGGGCTGCAAGCATCGCTCGGTTGAGATCCCCACTGGCCTCGTCAGCCCCCTTGCGCGCGCGCTAGATCCAAAGGGGTCTGGATCAAAGAGTGGGTTCAAGTATCCTCGACTTTGCTCCAGTCTCGTTTCATGGTCTCGATTTCACGTTCACGAGCAGTTCATGACACTTTTTGACTCCATCTCATGGTTTCTTCACCCAAAGACATACTGACAAGGGCCTACTATGGCCCGTCTACGACCTGCAAATTGTCCTGATCGATAAGTTCGCTACAGTATCTGGACGATTTGGATTTCTGCTACCCAGAAAGAAAAAGGAGTGCAGCTTCAGACAGCTCCCACTCTCACCGACTCGAATGCACTGCTACAAAAAGGTGCTGCGTTGTTTCCGTGAGAATGCTGATGCTGCTGCGCTTTTCGACTAGCGCTTCTTGGTTGCGCAGGGATCATAACTTTAAATTCAGGGCCTCTTTGGCTCGTGGAAAACGCCCCGTCGAGCCGTAACAGGCAGCCTGAACCAGGGCGACCACCACGATGCTACCCAGCAGGTAGGATTCCCAATGGCGAGACGTGGGAGAACTGGCTACACGGAACATACTCACTACTCTACAGGATCTAGAATTCGCTTTGCCACACAAAGCCGACATGCACCAAGGACCGAATTCTGTCGCAGTTTCGTAAGGACGGCGAGTTAGAGACGGGGTGGTGCTAATGAACCCCAGAGTAGGCGTTGTGAGAAGCCAAGAGGCCACGAACCAAGAAGTCTACAGACGGCCGTTTCTAAACCAAAAAAGAAGAGCCGAATGTCTTGGTCAAAACAAGGAGATGAACGCCATGCCATCAGGACATTTGATACTTTGGCGGAAGCAACCTTTGGCCGACAAGTCCGCCGAAGGGCCGACGGTCAAAGCCTTTGTCTCCGACAAATCCATTTACCGCCAACAAAGACAAAGAGGATCTGTGAACACGTTCCCACCGATATCAAAGCGAGCTCGGTCGACACTCTTGCAACTAGTTTTAGCTGACTTTAGTTCCGTTGTTAGTTGTTTTGAGGAGATGTGAACGGAGCCGTAACAGGAATCAAGACCGTGATCGTCTCTTACAAAGGAGGGAAAAGCGAGCCATAACCCCACCACTGCTCTCGTACCAGCACTCCCTGTTCACGCTGGAAGAACCCGAGGCCGCTACCGCGTGTGCAATCTCGTGGGACATCCACTCTGCTCACTCCGCTGACGGAGTTAAACCCAAGAGGGACTGGATATTCCGAACTTCAACCAGGTGTGGTTCAAACAAGAGAGCTGTTACTTCGCAGGCCAAGAGCCAAACAGAGACAACCAAGAAGTTGTTGAGACTCTTGAGACTCTTGGGTTTTGAGATCATCAAGTCAGGAGCCATCTATACCACATAGGCAAAAAGTCCAGCCCCCCTTTGGCTCGCATTGAGGCGTACCTATTGGCAGTATTGGATACATACCATAAAATCCCTCTTTGCCCTGCCCTCCGAATACTGTACCCATGTTTCTCCCCCTCATCACCGTCGTCAGCTACTTTCTGCAGTTCTGGCTTGCCTAAACCGAGTCTGGGCATTGAACGGCGAGGCATGGCATGGGGCACACTACGCGAATGTTAGCGCGGACCATGCGCGGGCACACACACGACGGAGGACGGGTTGCGATCTCACTTCTGCCGTAGAGAGACGACGTTGACGGACACGGACACGGACACGGACACGGACTGGCCTGGACAGCAACGCTTCCCGTCTTCGCCGGTACCTGGAGCAGAAAGGGCTTACACTAAAACTTGGAGCATTTACAGTAGCAGGGACGAGAATTGAAACATTTGGCGACGGTATCATTCCACTTGTGAGTTGCTACGTCTCTTGAACAACGACATGCTCGGCTGCTGCTCCAAAAGAGTCCGGGAAATTGCTTGTATGCGTAGAGAATAGCAACGGCGTAGAGGTATTGTCACATCTGCCCTCGTCCTCATCATATTTCTCTCGAGGTTGTCGCCGATGTCTTCTGAGCGAGTTGCCCAAAAACAGAATCCCAGTTGCTGGAACCCCCACACAAAAGACGGCATCCCGGAGCCGGCCCTCTGAACCTCTTCAACCAACAGCCAAACGTCCAAGCCGACCGTGACCTCACCTTGCGGTTTTTGGCTGCTTCATTCGCTCCTCTGAGACAGTTGAGAAATTCGGGTTGAGGGCCCCATAAAAGACCACCAGGAACTGTGAGAATGGCCTTTCTCTTGAGCTTCTGTTTGACTCTGATACGGATATTTCCACTTGCATTTCCATTGTCAACCGTGAACAGTCAGTCATCCGAAAAAGATGACTGAACTCGAGGAACTGAAGTGGACAATGGCGGCGTCCTGCGTACTGTGTACATCCACTTCAGTTCTGTTGCTTCGACAGGAGTCAAAAGGTATCTTATACATACCGTGGACTTCATCTACCTTTCATCCCACTCTCTTTTGCATATCCACCTGGGACTCGGTCGCTAGCGTCCCGGTGTGCCGCACTTTTTCTCCAGTGGGCATTCCATTGTGGAGTTCTCGCGGTGGGCAGCGCAGCGGCTTCTGACTGGTCCGCTCCGAGTCGTCGAGTGGGTTTTTTTCTGGTCGGCGGGCGTGGCGTGTGCGTCCCGAGCACGAGAAATTGGAAGCGCAGGGCTTCTGCAGAAGCCAGAGAAGTGGGCATTCGACTGGCATTCAACTTCCTCTCATCACTGCTCTGCAATCAATGAGAATGAAAGGCTGCCGATGCATTGAAGCAGCAGTCACAGCCCGAACGTGGGGGAACTTCCCTTCCATTCCCCCAATCCACTTTCTGTGCTTTGCCCTGACTGGACCGGAGGGGTTCTTGCTAGGTTGTGGTTCGGCTGCTGCAAGCCTGCAACTGGTGCCGCTTGGTTAGGTATTCACACTGGTGAGAGTCCTGGCTGCTATGGTACACGCTACACGCTAGTTCCAAAGCCCCAAAAGTATACGTACCTCTCTGCTGGAGCCCGTCGCCTCTTTGAAGACCCAGGGATCTCCACTACGACTGAAAGTCAATTCCACAGTCATCGGCTGTCGTCTACGTCGTCGTCCAAAAAACTATACAACAACAACTTTCTTTTGGTCGTCGTCGTCGCCGTCGCCGTCGCAGTTCGCAGTCACATCCCAGTCCACGCTGTTCGCGAGCGCGCAGTTGAGACTGACCGTCCGCGACCTCACTCTTTGACCTAGTACCTCCGTCGCTCTAGGTCTTTAGCAGCAGCTCTTGCCCTACAACTGTACCTCTACCGTACGGGCTTCCTTGCAGTTACAACAGACCACCACCACCAGCCAGCAGCAGCTCCTGCCTTGTTCGGTTGTCACCTGTCGGTCCTTCCACAGCCCGGAATCCCCATTCCCTCCTCCTCTTCCACTTCTCAGACTCTTTCCCTCAGACACGCAGAGTCAACGTCAACCGTCAACGTCTCAGATCTCGCTCCTCCTTCCAATTCCTTTTGTGCGACAATGGCGGCCAGCACCACAACCCCAACCGCCACAACAAGGCCGTTTTTCACAATGAATCCGACAACAACAGAGCACGACTTTCGCTTCCCGCGCAGGCCAGGTGACTCCATGGCCGGCACCGGACTTGGAGCCGCCGCCATGTCATCGATGCCCTCTGCCAACAACCACCAGCACCACCCCATGAGCGCATTCAACCACCACAATGCTGCCAATGCCCGTGGCCGTGATGGCTTCGGCCGCCCTAATAACAGCATCAACGGCTTTACGGCCAACATCAACCACCAGCAGAGCAGTAGTAACAATAACAGCATGAACAACATGAACAACACCAGTAGAAACATCGGACATGCCACCAGTGACCACCGCAACCAGCCGGCGTCCAGCGGCGGCGCAGCCTATGATCTGCTCCGCTCATCCGCTTTCCCGCCTTTTCAGGACGGCCTGGCTGGCATGACCCAGAGCCCAGACGAGATGCAGAAACAGGACCCGCTGGCTACCCAGGTCTGGAAGTACTTTGCTAAGACCAAGCTGGCCCTGCCCAACCAGGAGCGCATGGAGAACTTGACTTGGCGAATGATGGCCAAGCCGCTGCAGGCCTATCGTAGGCAAATGGAGACAGACCGGTAAGTGAAAGAGAGAGAGAGAGATTCTTAGAAGAAGACATCGTGTGTTGTTCCCTCGAGCGTCTGGCCAGCAAGCTAATTATAATTGCATGTGTTGTAAAAAAGGGCACCCCGTTTCTCGGAAACAGCCCCTCAAAAATCGACAAGCGGCATCGCGCAATTGCGCAAGTCCTCGGAGCAGACCCAATCCCAGGGGTCTGACCTCATGAACCTGGACGATTTCATCAACGGCGAAAACATGGGCACGCCAGCTGGCATGTCTCTTGCGCCTTCACCCGAAACATCCTCCAAGATGGCTGACGATAGAGCTGCTCACCACTCCACGGCTTCAGCTATCCCTATCAAGGCTCGCAACAAGGACCAACATCAGCACATGATTCCTCAGTCTGTCCCCGCGGCCTTGCACCACCCAAGGATGCAGACCGAATTTGGCTATCTCCCTCGACACCTTCGAAAAACCAGCATCGACGAGACGAGCAAACGCGTGAGTAGCTTTCTTATCAGTTCCGCCTGCTGATCTGGTGTAATCTGGTCTGATACAATTATCCTTCTGTCTAGAACCTGAACCGAAAACGCCCTGCCGATTTCTCTCCTCACGTCTCCGCCGTGACACCCAACTACGCAGCTAACGGCCTTGACGCCGATAATGATCTCCATGATTACTCGCTTGATCATACGAGCCATGGCGGCATGCAGCAGCAAACCGCCCATTCTTCGGTTCCCTACGCTCTCGATACCGTCAACCTCGATGCCGACCCTTTTATCACCTCTGCCGGTCCCTTCCAGCAGAACTTCTCCTTCTCGCCGTCCACGTCGCCGATGGTTAGCCACGATCCATTCACGACCATGTTTGGCCCCAACAACTCTTCCTTACACACTGGGCCTATCAATAGCAACAACTTCTACTCGCCACCGGCTTCCGCTTTCCAGTCGACTGCCTCTACACCTCACCCCATGAACGAAGGGGGCGATAACTTCTACTTCGGTGTAGACATGCGCCAGGCTCGCCAGCAGCCTTATCGGGCAGGAAATCATGGCATGGGCAACACTATGGCTCACCAGTTCCCCTATGGCGCAAACGGAAACATAATGTTCCCGGCGACCTCGGCCGGCCCTGACCCGACACCCTCCTTTACGGCCCGACCTCATTTAGCAGTCATATCGACCCCACCCAAGTGTTTCACAACGAACAGCCGGTCCGATCACCCGGCATTAATCTCTTGCAGGACAGCTTGTTCACGTTCGGCGCGGAATCGGATGGAGACGAGGAGGAAGGTGGCGCATTTGCTGATCGCAACCTCTCGATTTCTCATGACTTCTCTTCTCAGGGCATGGAGGAACCTGCATTTGATTCGTCGTCTATGGGATGGGACCCAACTCTACCTGGAAACTTCAGCACGCAGGCTGCGAGGTATCCTGGTGGCCCGCCAAGGAAACAGGTTACGATTGGCGCTACAACAACCGATTATGTTGATAACACTGGGGAATGGGATGGAAACGGTCTTCCCAGGTCTCAGTCCAGTCATTCCGTACACAGAACGACCCGCGGAAAGGGAAAATGCCTAGGACGGCATCGACCCCGGGTCTGTCTGCCAGAGCCAACCCGTTCGAGAGGCTTGCCCAGTCTACCTTCAACTCGCCGCCAGCCGACGCTGGTCGTTCGTCTGGTCTTTCCTCGGTACCGGCTAGCCGGCCTTCATCCCCTCCTCCCGGAGCGAAACAGGGCTCGACGACGAACTTGCAGGGCGCGGCTGGAAACTCGGCAGAGACCCCAACAACTTGCACCAACTGCTTCACCCAGACGACCCCCTTGTGGCGCCGTAACCCGGATGGACAGCCCCTTTGCAACGCTTGTGGCTTGTTCTTGAAGCTACATGGTGTCGTGAGACCACTTAGTTTGAAGACCGATGTCATTAAGAAGCGGAATCGCGGTTCGGGAGCGAGCTTGCCTGTAGGCGGTACAAGCACACGGTCCAAGAAGAGCGCGAGCATGAGCGCAGCGGCTCGGAAGAACTCGACCTTGTCTGTTACCTCCAACGCGAACAACCAGCCAGCCGCCCAAGTGGCGACACCGCTGGCTCAGCAGAACCGTGCCAGTAGCGTCAACCACGAGAGCGAGAGCCCCGCGAGTGGCCCCGCTTCCGGTGGTAACACTGCGGGTAGTACCCCCACGAGTTACCACGGAAGCGCAGGCTCTTCGAGTGGTGTTACTGGGAAGAATGTGATACCCATCGCGTCCGCGCCCCCCAAGGCTGCGCCCGGACCTGGAGCGGGCTCTATGTCACGTCGCGATACAATTAGCTCGAAACGCCAGAGGCGCCATAGCAAGAGCGCTGGAAGCGATCAGCCTGTCAGCGCCGGAGCTGTTAGCAGCAGCGGAATGGACGTCGATAGTCCCGCCAACTCGACGGGATCTAATGAAACAATGCCCACCTTCAACCCCGGTGGTGCATTTTCTTCGCTTCCCCCAACGACTCAGGCCAGCCTTGGTTTGGCAATGGATACATCAACACCTCTCGTCCTATGGTTGGAACTGGTGGCATGATGGGAATGCCGAACGGCCAGGCTGGCCAGATGGGCCAGATGGGCGGCAGCAGTGGGTCTGGCAGTGGCCCTTCTCGTCATGGAGCCGAGTGGGAATGGCTCACCATGAGTCTCTAATGTGGAGGCTACGATACATGCGACATTGTCTTATGGATTATTTTGATGACAATTTTTCTCGCGATATATTTTTGTTTTGGATGGTATTCCCTTGGTGGTTTCTTTATTATGGATTTTTCGTCTTTGAATGTTGCAGCAAACGGGGGCTTTGGAATTCACACAAGGCAATGGGGCATTATGGTGTGGCAATGGCATAGACAGGTCTTGATTTTTGTTTTTACTCTGGCCGGGGGAAACGGTACGGTTGTTTCAGCTGTCGTGTTTCGAACGACAGCCTTTTCTGAGCATTTCCTCTCACGCACATCTCATTTCTTGGGACGCTAAGGATTGATAGAGGAAGGAGGCGGATTGTTGATGATGGGACGAGAGGCCCAGCAGGGGCGGGGGAAACACGATAAAGGCTGGGAATGCGCTCCAGCATTCTCCATCAATTTGATGACAATGTTGAGAAGACGCAGGAACACGAGAAAAACAACATTGCCAGCAATTGTCTGCCAGGAAATCCAGCTTGCCAACAATGAAGCGTTGTAGGGGGATACCCGGCTATTTTCAGCGAAGACGAACGCGCTCACAGCGGAAGATAAACGATAAAGCAATGCAACTTCGGGAGGAAACATACATTTGCTTTGGGCGTTTGCTGTCAGAGAGAAGAAGAGGAAGGAAGGAGATGAGATGATGAGGATGGGACTTGATTGAACGAGCCTCTCTACTATACAACCGATCCACTGACGACACTGGCTTGACGCTCTCGCTGATGTGGATGGCCGGGCCGGATTTTCAAGTCTCGCACGTTCATGCTTTTTGTCCATATACGAGAAAGATGATGATACCCGCAATTCTTTTTCTTGTTGTTATACACTTGGCTCATTTCTGGCTGGATTGCTGTTTATGATAGGTAGATACCACCAATCGAGAATATCGTACAAACCTGATGTCGCTTCTGTGATGAATACTGCTTGGTTATATATGCAACACAAAAAGGATGACGGTTAATGAAGCGTCAAAAAGTTCTCATACCGACACTGTAATGACGAACCCAAGACAGCAAATCTACACTCTAGTGCTCGTTTGTACACACGCCTAGTACGGTGGACGAAATCTATCCGGAACTGTCCCAAAGCCCTTAAGGGCAATACGAAATGGCTAGGTACGAATCGGGAAGGCATCAGTGACATTGATTATAGGATATTGAAATTGCGAAAAGACATATTCAAGATACGATTACGCCTTAGATGTGGAACAAAACGAATGAATCAGTTAGATACATAAAAACGTCTAGAGGCGGGAAGATTGACCAGAGGTCTCTAACTAAGTAAGAAACAAACAAACCCGTATCGAGCTGACTGTATGTGCAAGAGTAATATGTATGACGATTTAAGATTTCTGACAATAACAGAAACTTCGTAGTAAAAATGCTAGGTACAGTATCTTATGCTTCAACATGATAGATAGATGCCCACCCCAGACCCGTCTAAGATGCCATGCCACCTCGTCCGTATTCTTCCCCTAGATGAACCAACCGCGACCGAAACCGAAACCATGCAAACCGTTCATTTTCAAACCGCGAAATCATGCACCGAAATATGAGAAAACGTAAAACCGTAGAAGCGTAAAAGTACATACAATGTACATCGACAAAAGTAATGTTCATAATACCGTGAATACGTGAGGTGAGACACATGAGGTTTGCTCAAATCCTCTCCACCTCCCAAAATAATTCACTCCATCCCTTCCCAGTCATCAACTTCTTCCACTCGAACCCCCTTGATCCACCATCGTTGATTCTTCCATTACCCGCAGCCACTGCAGCCACACTCACACCCTTCCCATTCGCCATCTTCCCATTCCCATCCCCATCCCGTCCAGAAACAAGCACCCTGCGAACCAGCAAAAGACCCACCATCCCCACTCCAAAAGCAACACCAACAAACACCACCAGTCCCCAGAATTTTCCATGGCAAGCAGACACGAGGTTCGACCCGATCGGGATGCCGGCTATACTTACCATGCTAACAAGGGTATAAAGCGTGCCAAAATATTGGCCGAACTGGCTCCCGTAGACCCCGTTAGAGGAGGAGGAGGGGAGCATAGGGGAAACCAGAACAGGTTCTAATCCCAGGACGGCACCGCTGGAGAGACCGAAGAGGACGGTGAAAGTGGTGAAGCGACTGGAAGACATTCCTGTGCGTCCGGGGTGGAGAGTGGGTGGGAGTAGGATTGCTAGGAGGGAGAGGGTGGCGAGGAGGGAAAGGAGGATGGCTGTGTTGAAGGGTCCTAGTTCTAGGCCGGAGAAGAAGACTCTCCTCGGTTTCCTCTGTTTTTTGCCCGCCTTCGAGGGGTGGTTCAGGTTGTTGGGAGGAAGGGAAGAGGGAGAGGTGAAAGGAAATCCGGCAGCCAAGAAGCCAGCGAGCAAGCGGCCAGCGATGGAAGAGATGTTCACCACGAGGGTAGTGGTGCGGAAGGTGATACTTTGCGAGTAACCTTGGGAATAAAGGGCGGTGGCGGAGAGGTAAGTGGTTGTTGTGTAGATTGAGAGGTGGATCAGGAAAAGAGAGAGGAAGAGGAGGGTGTAAGACTTGGAAAAGAAGAAGGGGGTGAGGGAGGGGTGGAAGCTGCTGCTCGTGGGCTTTGCCATTGGCATTGGTAAAGCGGTCTTTGTTGATAATGATGCGGAGGGACCGCCGACCATGGGGGTGGTAGAATTTGCAGAGGCGGTGGAGGCGGTAGAGGCGGTAGAGGTCGAGGAAGCTGATGAGCCAGGTGGCGATAGCGTATGCGATTTCTTGGCCGAAGAAGCTGAAGTAGGCGAGGTCGGCACCGAAGGAGCTGGTTCCCGACGAACGGAAGAAGGAGGAGAGCGAATTAGGAAGTTGGCGATTACGGCCAGGAAGAAGCAGATCAGTCCGAGGGTGCGGATCGTCCATGACCAGCTGACTTCGTGGAAGAGGTTGCGAGTGGCATAAGGGAAGACGATGCCGGCTGTGGGACCCGCGGTGGTGGTGAGGCTAGTTGCGAAGGCGTAGGATCGCGGAGAGCGGCCGAAGAATTGGTGGATGGTTACGAGAGAGGGGATGAAGAGGAAGGTGGAGGTTAGGCCGGAGAGGATCCCGAAGGCGAGGAGGATGGCCCATGTTTCTGTTCCAAGATTAGCTTCAGTTCACTTGTCATCGTTCATACCATCCCTTTTCCCGTTTTACGTTCTTTTTTTCTTCCTTTCGTACTTCCAATCTCTTTCTTTCTGTCTTTCTCTTCCTATCCATCCACCAGAAAACGAACGAAAGGAAAGAAACTTACCACTCCTGCAAGCCAGCACAACCATCCCGACCCCCAAAAAACACCGTCCCGCTCAAAACCAAATACCTCGCCCCAAACCGATCCGACAACGGACCGACATACATCCCCAACCCCAAGCTAACCACAAAGTAGAGTGAGAACACCCAAGCAAACGTGCCCTCGCTTATACTCGCCACTTGCTCGTTGGCATCCCCAGACACGTAGTTCTGACATATCGACAGCACTGTCAGGAGACCAAACGACGAGAAAATGGCCAGCCAGGCACCGAGAACGGTGAGCCAGGAGCGGAGGGCATATTTCCCCGTGCTTGTGTCGGTGACTGTAGCGAAGGAGTCGTCTTCTGAAGAGGTAGTGGCATGGTAGGACGGGCCTACCACACCGGGAGTTAGAGGGGTAAGGGAGTCGATGGAAGTGTGCTGGTTTTCGTTTGAAGATCGACTGTTGCTGTCGTCGTGGCCGCCACCTAGCAGTGGGACGCCTTGTGCTTTTCGTGAAGCGGCGGTTTCTGGCATTTTGGGTTTGGTATCTGGGTTTGATGGATTCGTGGTTGGTGGGGGCTTTGTTATAGTTTGATAGTCTGTTGTTGGTGTCGGTACTGCTGGCTTGAGGACAGGACCGTCGTCGTCGAATGTCCGACCGGGGCCGGTCTCAGTGTTGACGTTAACGTCCGCCGCGCCTGGTAGGCGACGAGGGAAGGAACTATTCGTCATGATGCGGTGATGAGTATCTGATGATGTTTCTCGACAAGACAAAAGGAGGAGGGAAAAAAAAGGCTGTAAATGCCTCCCTTTTCCCGAAGTCTTTACTCGAGGGAGAAGAACCAAATAATGAAACACCTTTGGACGGAAACGAAACGGGAAGGGTGGTTACCTGTCGCAACACAACGGAACGAGAGATCAAATATGGGCTTTTTGTTTGCTCTTTATCAAGTAGCTTTCAAGGAAAAAAGGTCTCCACAGTATCGTCACTGACGCACAGGGTGATCGGCAAAGATAGAGGAATAAAAAGCCCAAAAGCTTATATGCGCCCACTTCTGCTAGTGTAGTCCCGTCGGTTCGTGAAGATCGTGAAAAAATGAATGTCTGATGTAAGACCGTGTGCACATGTGGACTCACATCGTTGTCAATTAACAATGCCGCCCTTTGGACCCCCTGTAAGTTGGTTCTTGGACTGTGAGCCTAAAGCTTATTTGGACAAGGTGAGACAGAGCTAAAGGCTCTAGGGGTGCAAATCACTGCTACACCAGTGGGTGACTCAAATAAACGCACAACCGGTCATTTCCCCGCAAAACATGTACTTTTCACGTCCCAAGGCGACAACACCACCAACTTTTTGGTAATCTGTAGATTCAGCGTATTGAGCAAATTATCTCACCACTAAAAGGAATATTCTTATTTGTATTTTGCTTAAAAATGGGTGAGTTGCATCGTATATGCTTGGTAGAAAATGGGAAACCCGATTTCTCATCTACTGTAGCCCCCTGTAAGCCCGCTATAAGTAATTTGACAACCTCACTCTCAAATGGAAACCACCCTCCTTCTACCAATAATGGCCAAAACTCTTCAAGACTCTCATGATCTTTGAAGTCTATTAAGAGTTCCAATGCCTAAGAGTTGCATTCGGTTTAGAGGATAGTAAGGTGGTTGAATCACGGAGTGGCGGAGATAACTTTTTGGTGGGCTTTGCAGGGGAATTTCCGAGTTGTGTGTTTTTAAGTGTTACCCACTGTACGTATGAGGTGCTTAGGGAGATGGGTCTAGATCTTAGCCACAATATTAGCTCCTCTGGCATTTGCAGACAGTTTGCCAACGATGGAACGATCCCTAAGCTCCAATCCATCTGTCCGTTCGAATAGCTTCTTCCCGTCCCCGCATTCTTTCATTGCTACTCCAGAAAGGGTCACCAAGTCACATCTGTGTCACCAACCGTCGCATAATCAATATTACTACCGTCCGTGGTCCAGTGGCGCTGGCAGATGCCAACGGTTCCGTTCCCGTCATCCTGCGCCTGTTTGACAGATACTACACTACTCAAAGAGTGATTGGCGGCGTGGTGAGCCCTTGCAGAAGTCGACGGTCGGCTGCGGGGATAAAGGCTAAAAACCTCGCTGAACATCTCGGGCTTTCGGTCAGGCTGTCCTCCTCACTTGACTCCATCTGTGTCTGTTGGCGCGATGCCCCAAAGTCGCGTTATGGTGGCTTTGCCGTCAAGCAGAAGACTGATGATGTCGGACGGCCCTAAATCACCAGCGGGGTATCGTAGAACACGAGATCACCAGCGGTTCAATATCTCCGCACCTAGGCTTCATCGACAACGAAACTAGGGCTTGCCGACTAAGTCCAGCGGGTACCGTGCAGCAGGAACCATTGGGAAAATTCAGTCCAGGCACCAGTGGTGGCCCAATTTACCCGGGTTGTGTTCTCCTGTAACGCCTTGCCGAAATGCCTAGGCCGCTGCCTTAAAGGTGTTCTTTCTCCACGGCAAGGGCAGAACAACGGAAATCGGCACTGTCCGTTCCCTTCTATTGCTGAAACCAACAAGCTAATTCATGCCGAGAACGAGGTTTATAAGGTTATTCGGCGAAGCGTGTTTTGCATCAGCTGTTGCTGACAACGTAGTGAGGCGAAGCACATAAGTCTCGACTCTAGAATGCCAAGGCGGAGCTTGTACCAGCAGCTTGGTTAGCCATGAGGTTCTCGACAGTCGTTGTCGCATCGCCAAGGCCATTACCAAGTTTAATATGACAGCAGAGGGACTAAGGCCTACTCACAGGGTGGCTTGGGAAACACGTGCTGAAGCGCATGATCTGATGTGTAGGTATGATGTCGATTGATGAACCATAAGATGCCAGACTCCTATTCGCCCTCGGAAAGGCTTTTCGATGCGCCATCTTCTAGTCTTCTTCCGCCTCTTCCACGGTAACTCCCCGTGGACCAGCGTTCTGGTCGGCTTCCAGTCCGTGAGTCAACTGACCTGCTGGCTGGGAGGTCTTCAGGTAACCGGCCCTCTCGAGTTCGTCGGCTTCTTCTGGTTCCATGAGACCTCCCTTGCCCTTACCCTTCTCCAGCTTCAGCAGGACATTGGTCGGTACAAATGCGCTGACGGCCTCCTTTTTAAGGTCGCGGACCATAGGCTTGGCTTCGTACACAGTCTTGACCTCGACCACCGGTGCCTTTGGCTTCTCGGTCTTCTGGTCTTCCTGTTCGTGCTGATGTCCTCTGCCTTCGCCTACAGGCTCGTGGTTCGCATTCGCAGCCCGCTTTGCCCTGCGCTTGGCGAACCACTCGTCTAGAACCTCCCTGGGAATAGGTGGGGGAGTGTCGCGCGGCATCGGTATTCTCTTGACATCTTCGGGCACGTCGCTGTCGCTGGACTCTTCGTCTTCCCGTCGTCGCTTTCCGAGGGCTCCATCGCGTCGTGGACCGTGACCGAAGGTGGGCGCCTTGTCACCTAATGCCTCTCTGGCCTTCTTGACAGCCTTGAGATCCTTTTCGAGGGCCTCGAGGACCTGTTCTTCATGGGAGGTGAGCTTGCCTCCCTTTTCTTCCTTATTCTTTTTTAGGTCGTCGATCTGCTGTTGGATCTTTTCGGGATTTCGTCTCGCGAGCTGTTCATTTCGCTTTGCTTGCTGCTGCGCCTTTCCTGTGTGATTGTGGGTTTGTTGTTAGTATATCGCTTGCGTGTAGGATCCAAATGTCGCCTTGGCGTGGGTGAAGATGGGAGAGAGAGAGTCGAGTGTTGGACTTACCCTTTTTTATTTCCTTGGCCTTGTCAGCTTTGCGCTGGGCTTGGACGGGGTTATAGTTTTTCTCCTTGGGCATTGCGGCGGTGATGTGTGTGTGTGTTGTTTATATCGATGTGTTGGGTTGGGTGGTTCTTGTGGTGTAGCCGGTATGTACCTGGTCTCCAATGGTGATGGCGCAAAAAGATGGACAAGACGGATCGTGGCACCGCAATTTAACGAATGGAGCTTTCTGGAGCGGAATGACGCGTTAGTGCACGGCTGCCAAGAACATTTCAGCGCGGTCCAAGGAGTCGCGGTCGAAAATCCGGTCTGGCAGCCCCTTCCGGCCCCCTTCTGACCCCGCGATTTGGGGCCATTGGGGAGCCACTGGGGAGCCACTGGGAGCCATTGGCACCAAAGGGCCACTGTACCGCACCCACTTACTGCCACTGACACCCAATTCCCTGGCTCTTTGGTTGCCCGTGAATGGCCGTTGCCGGGGTTTCTGCTGCGACTGCCATCCGCTTGTTGATATTTGCCCCGCCTTTTTTTCCCTTCGCTCCTCTCCCGCTCCTGCCCATCCATCCGCGCCTGCCCAATTGCCAGGGAGAACTTGTCTCAGCATTGCTGCACTTGCCCGTCGCCATTGCTTGTTTTCCATGAAGGAATTGCATGATTTAATTTTCGATTTCTGCTGGCGACCAAGACCCGTTTCTGTCCTCTGACAACAACAAACCGAACTCTTAACGGCAGCTGTCCCTTTTTTGCAACACCACGGACACGGCATCGCGACCAGCTCACTCTCCCATAATTTGTACACAGCACATACTTCTACAACATACCAAGACCAGCAACTACAAGCACACCCCCCCCGCCATTCCAATATCGCGACCCCATCTCTCAGCTTGTTTTCAGCTGTCTCTTGCAGTCCCCCATACCCACCTGGGATCAGACATTACCTTGGACTGCTTTATTGTTGCATTTGGCAGCTCAGCATTCTGATCATCCATTTATCCTCCTGCATCATCTATCCAAGCTTTCCCACCGCGTCCCTGCTTCGCTTATCTTGCCTTGCAGCCGCGCGGACAGTACCGATACCGACAGGAGACGACTCCAGCACACCGACTGCTTGACTGACTCCGACTCGCTATCCATCCCCACGGTGTTCCCCTGTACCGCTGCCTGTACTGCAGGTGGAGGCTGAGATCGCCCAAGCAAGTCAGCCCTACCTTGTTCCGTTTCTGGGACTTTGGCATCCGTGCCCGTGTCCGCCCAGGACAGCACATTCTCTACACCACCTCAGGAGTTACTCTCCCCTTAATACTCGACCCTGGTGCTATCTGGCATAGCTTTCAGTCATGTCGAGCTACATAACAAACTTCTTCCCCAGCGGCGGAAAGCAGGATGGGACTAGGCCGCAGACTCCCTTGAAGTCGGGCACCTCGAGCTTCGTCAACCCCGTCAGCACACCCCAGGGGAGTCCCAGCAAGAGGACGCTCCCTCCTGGCGCCAATGAGCTACCTGCTGCGTTTGAGTCTATGAAGCTTTCAACGCCCACCAAGCTCGCGACGTCATCCAAGCTTGGGACCTCGTCCAAGCTCGGGACACCCAGTGCCCTCGACAGTCCCATCAAGCTCGGCCGTCCCCAGAGTGTGGCCACACCCCTATCCCCTGGAAAGAGCAACCTCAAAGACGTGGAGGATGATACCTTTGAGGACCTCACGGGCAATGGCAGTGTTGTTAGTGTCATCCACAAGCAGGTGGACAAGAGCTTGCCGAAACCATACCCTATGCCGCCCACTCCCAGGAGAAAGGAAAGGGAACAGAACCAGGAGAACACACCACCAGCGACCCGGGATCCCCGCGACCCCCGTGACCCTTCCAGTGAGCCAACATATCAGGGAAATCAGCGCAGCCATGCTGCCCTCTCCCGGCAGGAACTGTACCAGACCAGGGAGCGCGCCTCGCCCACAGTCAAGAGATTTAACACGTCAAGAGGACTTACTCCCGAGGAGCGCGAACTACTAAACAAGCCCAACGTCAAGCGATTGGTCAATGTGACCCAGCTGTGTAAGGACTCTGTCATCATGTTGCTCTCGCTAGTGCTAACTGTTGATAGACTTTCTCGATTACTACTTTGACTTGCTCACCTATGTTGGACAACGGCAAAACCGCCTGAATGCCTTCAAGGCCGAATTTCCTCCACCACCCGAGACCGATGAGGAGACGTACAAGCAGATGTGGCACAAGTACGCTGGTCGGGAACGTGCTAATCTCCGCAAGCGACGAGTGAGACTGCGCCAGGGCGACTTCCAGATCCTCACCCAGGTCGGCCAAGGTGGATACGGACAGGTCTTTTTGGCCCAGAAGAAGGACACCAAGGAGGTTTGCGCGCTCAAGGTGATGAGCAAGAAGCTGCTGTTCAAGCTGGATGAGGTGCGCCACGTGTTGACGGAGCGAGACATCTTGACAACCGCCAAGAGCGATTGGCTGGTGCGCTTGCTGTACTCCTTCCAAGATGACAAGAACATTTATCTTGCCATGGAGTACGTTCCTGGAGGCGATTTCCGTACGCTGCTGAACAATACTGGCGTTCTCTCGAACCGGCACGCTCGTTTCTACATCGCCGAGATGTTTTGCGCTGTTGATGCTCTTCACCAGCTGGGTTACATTCATCGCGATCTCAAGCCCGAAAACTTCTTGGTCGACTCGACTGGCCATGTCAAGCTTACCGACTTCGGTCTTGCGGCTGGTTTCCTTGCCCCTGCCAAGATCGAGTCGATGAGGATTCGTTTGGAGAAGGCATCTGAGACCTCGGTGCCGTTTGGCAAGCCAATGGACCAGCGAACCGTTGCCGAGAGAAGAGAGGGCTACCGGACAATGCGTGATCGGGATACCAACTACGCCAAGTCGATTGTTGGATCTCCAGATTACATGGCGCCTGAGGTGCTGAGGGGCGAGGAGTACGATTATACTGTCGATTACTGGAGTTTGGGTTGTATGCTGTTTGAGGCTCTGACAGGTTTCCCGCCTTTTGCTGGATCTACCGCAGACGAGACTTGGCGCAACCTCAAGCACTGGAAGGAGGTCCTCAAGCGTCCGGTCTGGGAAGATCCCAACTACTTCCTCAGCAACCGGACATGGAGCTTCATCACGACGTAAGTACATTGTGATATCAACATGTGGAGTGTATATGCTAACCAGGTTACAGTTGCATCAACTCCCGATCGCGCCGCTTCAACAACATTAAGGATATCTATGCGCACCATTACTTTGCCGAGGTCGACTGGGCCATTCTGCGCGAGACTAAGGCTCCGTTCGTGCCCGAGCTGGACTCGGAAACCGATGCCGGCTACTTTGACGACTTCAGCAACGAGGCCGACATGGCCAAATACAAGGAGGTGCATGAGAAGCAGCAAGCGCTCGAGGGCTTGGCTGAGCGTGGCGAGGAGATGAACAAGGCCTTGTTCGTCGGATTCACGTTCCGTCACCGCAAGCCGGCGACAGATGATGGCGCGAGTCCCAGGAAGCCAATTCCGTTCGAGGACAGCAACACTTTTGGTACGATGCTGTAGAGCCAGCAGCGGCAACACCAACAGGAGGATGAGTGGCAGGAGCCATCATCACAGATATCGTTTCAGCACGACGAGGGCGAGAGTGTTTTGGTTTGTGGAAATTGCGGTACAGATACATGGGATGGTCGATACCCGTTGTCGAGTGATATGGAAAGCCCTTCGCGTCGGTCTCGGTGGACCAAGGCAGATCGTCAACAGATGTATGCAGGGAGAGCATACGACTTATTGTGATGGCGGCGAGCGTTGGCTGCGCGTTGACACAGAAGCGATGGATTTTGTCAAGAGTATCAAGGGAGGCTTAGGAGGGAGGAGATATCACCCATGTTCTCGGGTTTGCTGGGACGCGTAAGGGGAGTTATCGCCGTTATCTGGCTTACAAAGGAAGAAAGAGAGCATAGCAAGCAAGCAAATGATAGGTAGTAGAGTATGGAGTATTGTGGCAATGAAGAGCCTCCAGTTACAAGGCTGAATGCACTTGTGACACGACTTAGCGTAGGCTCAAGAGTTGGTAGGACAATAATGGACCGCGTCACCAGACGTCTGTCAGGGTAGAGCTGAAACAATAATTCGGAGACATGGGATGCTGCAAGTAAGCTCCCAGCGTTTCCCAAAATGGCATTGGTGCCAGGAGGGCGGCGAGGTTGGACTCTCGGGACCGGGCCGTTGGAGTCGTCGTCAGCGCTCTCGGTGTAGCTGCTGTATTCCGGCCGGTTGGTTGGGGAGAGGAGGGAAGTTGAAATACAGGCCCCATCCGATATCGGGATCTGAGCTTGTCGATAGACGGAACCCTGCGGAGATCCAGGCAATTCAGGCGCTAACACGCTCCTCCTTCAGGGGCCTTTCAGCCCTATTACGTGATGGCTGTGGACTCTTGCTCCAGGTAAAACCTCCTCCACTATCAACCGCATACGCATCAACAAACAAAACATACCTAGCCAACTTCTCCTTGAGACCGCCGAGATCGAAGACGGCACCTACCTAACCCTCGACGAAGTGAAGACACCGAGGCCTGATGAACGAATCAAGCAGGACTGGACGTGATCAGCCGCCCGCCAACTGATGATCCTACGGAGTGTCGGTCGCTGACCGAAGCCAGGCTTGTCGGCGATTTCCCGTCGTTCGACTTCAATATGGGCGGGGACTCTTAACATCTCACATTGCCGCGTCGCCGTTACGGACATTCCCCAATCTATGAAGCGCCACAAAGCCACAGTTTTGGAAGGACTGGTGGTTGGACTTTAGACCTTTCAGCGGGGCACATTACTCGGATTCTTACCTCCTCTTACTTGTACACGGACGGCACTTCCCCTTCCCCTTACCTACCTACCATCATCGAGGTAGGTAGCTTGACGACTCTACGATGCTTGACGAACCTCCGGCGCTCTACCTAGAGGTAGTCCCGTCGTGGTCCTCTTACCAGTTTGCAGCTCGGTACCTCTACTTGTAGGTAGCATCCCACAGCACCCCATTGGATTTGGGCCAGTCCCTCTTGACCTTCACCATCCTTTTCTAGTCTGGGGTGCTAGGGTACTGGGCTCCCCCTGTTGCCCTCCCGTTCCGTCCCTTCGGTCCCGAGCTTACGGGAAGGGAAAGGGAAGTGAGCCATACAACCTCGTCTCCCTCGTCCTCTTTTGTCCTCAATGATAGGAAAGTTGCTGATCCCTTGTTAAAGTACCTACGGTACGGTATGTATCTGTTTCGGGTAGAGTGATGGATGGGGTTACGCGTCTCCTCATGACAGCAGCAGCAGCAGCAGCAGCAGTAGCAGCAGTACAGGATCTCCAACGACACAGCGAGCAAGCTGAACCTGCAAGAGAGACGGGGATTGGACGCTGGACGCTTTCATCGCTCGATGCTTGATGCTTGATGCTTTCATCTGATGCTTTCGCCTGATGAATGATGCACCAAGCAAGCAAGCGGGCACTTTATGACAAGTGACAACTAACATCCAACCCATTCAACAACCCCAAGATCTCCAACTCCTTTCTCCAACGGCATCTTGCGTTTCGTTTCTCGTTTTTCCTTCTCGGCGCCGAAACGTCAGACAGACAGGCAGGCAGTCTCTGTTGGTTGGATTGGGTTTCTGGATGGCATTTCTTTTAGACTCCGATTTTTTTTTCTACCAGAACGGGAAATAAGATCTGCTTGCCCTCGGTCGTCCAGTCCCCTCGGAAATTATTACCCGCCTTCTTTTTACATGTTTACATGTTGGACAAGATGGAAGCCCGAAAAAGAAAGGGAGGGATGAAGACGTGCAAGGTTCCTTCTCCATTCCTAACCACCCACCCCTTGGCGTTTTCGTCCTTCCCTTCTTTTAGAGATCTTCAAGAAGTTGGGCAAGTCAAGTGAGAACCATCAATCATCCCGTCAACTTTTCTTCCCCATCTTTCTAAGTCTCAACTCCGGCTCTCCGAGGGACAATCCCAATCCCAATCCCATGGATGGTGGTGCCGCGCGTCTGTCTTCTGATACCTATCATGACTGGCACAGCTTCTATATCCGTTTTGCCGACATACATAGTACTTATCTAACAAAGAGCAATGACGAAATGACGAAAGAGAGTGGCTACTAAGGTAGGTACCTACCTCGTGGTGCCCTACACACATACCTTACCTACAGGCTACATACAGCCGGGCTTGTACCTTTTACGCATGCACAGATGGCTCCGAAAATGGAAATCTGGATGTACGATGTACGATGGACGCGCAAGTGCATGCCTTTTCTGCCTTTTTTTGCCCCATGTTGTGTTTCCTGACCTTTTTACCAGCCCCATTTCTGGACAATTGACGAACCTTCCATTGGTGGTTTTCCAGTACGGAAGTATCGTGTGCTGTTCTGTCGGGCTGCCAGGTACCTCGCTTGCCCTTGGGTCTGGTAGGCAGGGTCCCGAGACATGTTGCATGTTGGTCCAATGTTCAGAGCGGCTCGGCTGTGTTACTTTACATGATTCCGTAGCATATATATTTATGTACGCTCTCTTTCTTCTACCTGCCCATATTGGCTTTTCGGTTTCATACCAGAAACTGGCTCATATCATTCCTCTTTAATCCTACTCAGTTTAAACACTACTCACATTTATCATTCTAACCACACATAACACATAAAATCAATCAGTCACCGAACAAGACAAAAATGGAGCGTCCCCAGATTCTCGGCCTCCTGGCCCTCGCACTCTCAGTCAACAGGGTCGAAGCGTGGTGGGGCGCCGGAGCCCCCGAGTGCGCGGTAAGTTTATCCTTCAACACCCCTTTCCCACCTCCCTTCCTCATCCACCTACCTAATTAACTAACAACACCCTTCTTCAGCAACCCTGTCTCTCTTCAGCTTGGTCAGCCACGAGCACAACCGCCTGGCCCGCTCCAACAGATTGGTGCGACTCCTCCAAAAACTCCGACATAAAATCTCGAATCGACGCCGCCTCCTCCTGTCTGGTCAGCGCCTGCTCCGCCACGCCAACCGCCCACTCCTCTTACTCGTCTCTTTCCTCCTCTCTCTGCGCCCAATATTCTTCTTGCTCTTCCGCCGGCTCTACGGGCGTTTATACCGTTTCCCTCCCTGCCTTCACTGGAGCTTGGGACGGCGGCCACGGTGGCGGTCCCGGTGGAGGATGGGGAGGACACGGCGGCCAAGGATGGACACAAACAGGAACAGGAAAATGGGGTCCCCACGCCGGCTGGGCGGGAACAGCCACCTGGACTGGAGGCGTGTATACCGTCACAGGATGCGAATGGGACGGATCACCATGGGCCGGCGGGCCGTGGGGCTTCGGTCACGGGGGCGGACCTGGCCATGGTTCCAATGGTGACTACGGCAACGGCCAACCCAACGGCCCTTGGGGCGCATGGGGCTCCGGCTGGACTTTGACTAGCACCGGCACAAAGACCATCACGGCTGTGCAGACTATTACCAAGGATGCGACGGGTGTGGATGGGAGTGTCACCAAGGTTGTTGAACTCGCGACTAGTACGGGCTTGGCCACGATTGGGTATGCGGTTAATGAGGATAGCAAGGCCGAGGCGACGACGGTTTTGGAGGGTGTGGAGGCTGCTGCTAGTACTACTGGTAGTAGCAGCAATGCGGCGAGTGGTGGTATGGGAGAGTCGGTGGGGGTGAAGGTTGTGGCGGCTGTGTTGGGAGGTGTGGTGGTTGTTGCCGGGTTGCTTTGATTTGAACGGGCTTTGAGCTTTGTTTGGAGACTGAGGATTTGATATATGGTGTTGGGGTTTAGGAACTTGGGGCTGAGTACGGGTCAAATTTGAGGATCGTGTTGTTTGTTTGTTTGGGTGTGGAAAACTAGTGTGCTCTGCGTCTGATAGATACCTTACTGTCACTCTCCTTCTCTGGATTTCTGGGCTTTTGCGAAAGGTGTTTGTTGAAGTGATTTTTCGAGTTGGATAATGGATGAATTATTACGCCGACCTTGTTATGTTGGTTGAAAAGCAGGTACTGTCTTTGGCACGCATCTCTGCGGTGGCAGTGTTTGGTTATTATTGTCTTGTTGATTCCCGAACTTTTTTTGTTTTCTTGTCAAAACACCACGGCACTCACATTTAAGCTACCCGTCCCCGCCAAAAAAGGCCAAACACCTGATGGCACTTATAGTATGCCCTGCTTTCAGCCTTTTTTTGGGGCCAGGGAGGCTACCTCTTCATGTTCCCTACCCAGAGGTGTGCATTTCTCCCGTCATTTGCTGAGGGGCCCATTACGTAACTAGGTAGGTAGGTAGTTCTGACCAACAGACGAAAGACTTTCGGGCCGGGATGCTCTTTCCCAACGTACCACCTCAGGCTTATGCGCCTCGGTTTGAGGGCTTTGAGGTCGTCACCCACCGCCTTATAGGCTCCTGTCACACCTACTCTTGTGGTTGGGGCTGACAAACAATCTTCTCTTAACCAGGCTAGCCACTACCATAAATCAAGCATTTCCCAACCATTCAAGTTGCCTTCATCCTCTCCTCAACTCATGTGAACTAAAACCGCCTCACACCCCCAGGCTTCGGCGCCGAAGAACATCAGAACCATAGACTGCCGGCCCTCTTCCCCGCCCCTCTCGGTCGCCCCAACAACGTTCCGTGCATGTATGGTCTCAGCCCAACCGGCCTTCTTTCCCTCGGAGGGCACCCATTTTGTTTGGCTGACAACTTAAGCCGCCATGATTCGACTAAAAATGGCCCATGGTGCGTCTGGAGGACGCCACTTGTGCTATATTGCTTGGGCAGACGAACAGGATGACCAACCATCGCCCTCATACCTACATATTAAGCCTGGAGCCATGCTAACTTTTTGTCGCCCAGCACTTGTGTCTCTCCCATTCAACCTTCTCCACAGTTCGTCGAATTTTCGAAACACATCGGCATGATAGCCCATACTTTGGCGCAAAATGGAACCAGGAGTTCGTAATGTCCTTAGGCACCTTCCGGCGGCCTTCTGGCTTGAAGGAAGTGAAAATGCCACTCCACTGCCAAGTATTGAAGTGTGGGAAGAAGATACCGAGAAAGGATGCACGTTTTGCACATCATTAATGTCGCGGTTAAACGGTGCCAGTCTCAACATTTGAGCCTCAACAGACGCCGAGAATCTGTCTTTTAAACACAAACTGGGACAAGAGAAGCCAGCTCAGCCTTATGACCTTTCAATCAAAGATCCTCCTCGACGTCAAAATTCCCAAATCACGCCGGGATTCTAAGCACGATTTGGATGAGAATACAGATTCGGAGCGTGCGTGGCATTACGGTACGTATGTGTCTTCCTGGCTTTCACTGAATCGCCATCAAGATAGTCGTTCAAACTAATGGACAAGCAGCTGTTGGCATTCTGACGTTGTTGGGGTCATGTCAGAAGCTATCACAAGATGGTAGGTTTTCAATAAACTCACAATACTCTATGAGAGAAGTTGGAAGAACGGATACAGTGTAGGTCCCTCAACTAACCCCTCCTTAACAATATTGAATTTTCCGGCTTACATTTCGTTCCCCAGATCGGGCAATTTTGCCCATGACCTCGCCAAGCCAATCGAGCAACTTCAAAATGTCAACATAACCGCACCTGTCGAAAGCGTCTCATGTTCCACCGATGCGTTGGAATACAATCTGGATTCTATAGGGATGTGGCTTGAAAACTGTGAAAGGACCCATACGGTTTGCCGCGTCGCCTTGGCCGCTCAAGACTTCCTGCCTACGAGGCTGCTCGATCTCAAAGCATTCAGAGACGACATCAGACTGGTCCATATACAACCCAACAAATATGATGGGAATGACAAACTACCATCGTATGTTACCTTGAGCCATTGCTGAGGACCACCTGCAAAGCGCCCCAAAATGACAACGCGGGCAAATTTGGCGGATCATATGGATCGGATCCAATTCTTGACCCTCCCAAAGACATTCCAGAACGCAATCGAGATTATCGGAGATTAGGGCATCAAGATCTTTGGATTGATTCCCTCTGCATTATTCAGGATAACGAAGAAGACTGGGCGCGAGAGGCGGCGTCAATGGCCAAAGTGTATTCCCAAGCCTACTGTACCCTTGCAGCTCTGAGCTCGAGTGATAGTAACCAGGGGCTCAATCTCATACCTCCAGACTTCCTGGTCAATATGGTCGTCCATGACACTGACAATGAAAAATACCGGCTCCGATTTCAGCATGAGAAGCTGGATTGGCGCTCGGTATATAACGGCTCATTGGATGACAGCCCTCTCCGGTATCGCGCTTGGGCGTTCCAGGAAAAGGAGCTATCAAGCAGTATCGTACACTTCGGGAAAACACAGTTAGTACTTGAGTGTTCGGCCGAAAAGGGGCCAATCTCAGACGGAGAACGTGGATCTACCTCCTGGAAATGGACAACGCGATCCCCTATACAGTCGTCGTCGTCTACGGTTGACTTGTATGATTTCTGGTCACCACTCGTCATGGATTACGCAGAGAGAAACATGACCAAAGTCAGTGAAAAATTGTTGGCCTTCTCGGGTATTGCGCAAACATACCAGTGGTTAGTTCCTAGCGCGAAGTACGTTGCTGGAATGTGGAGCACACATCTCCCAGAAGGCCTACTGTGGCAAGTGTGGATTAATCCAGAAGAAGTCTCCAGACGAACGTCGGAATACATTGCGCCGAGTTGGTCTTGGGCATCCGTCATGGCGCCGATCAAGTTCCGCCCATGTGATACCCGCAGGAAGCTTCGTGTGCAGGAGATGTGGGGATTGCCCAAGCATAATGATGCTTACGGAGCTCTTGTCGACGCCTCACTCATATTGAGTGATATTGAACTTGTGAAACTCAATTTAGAAACCAGATCTCCGGAAGGAGATTTGGGGGTAGGCATCCTCACCAGATATGGTGTCATTGCTGGGGTGGTGTTTCTTGATGTTAAGGACGGGTTGCCACCAACTACAGAAGACCTGATATTTATGGCACTTGAGGAGAAGCCGGAAAGTCGCCACCATGTGGGGACAATGAAAGGCCGTCCAATTTACGCGGAGGGCGGGCTTTGCCTCTTAGGGCTTGTGCTTAGGAAAGTACATCAAGATGATATGCCGACCTACCGTCGAATTCATGGACTTGGTCGGTATGTCCCTGAGTCCTTGACTGAGGGGTTGGATGCATGTACGATAAATTTGTTATGACGACTTGCTCTGGGAACTGGAAAGGAGCACAAGGAAATTCCTGGTATTGCTTAACTCTCCTACTCTGTTGGTGTTCATAAGTATCTGCGGCTGGTGTACCTATGTTTTCGGCTTCTCACTTTCATTTTCGATTTGATTCGTCCTTAATATTATGCCCAGGAACCCATGGGCTAGGTGAAACTTGCGCTGTCTTAAGTCCATTAGCCTATGTCCAATCCTCACAGAAGAATGAGTTCGAAAACAGCGGTGACAAAATTAATTGGGAGACCGCGAGTGAAAAGAATTCATATAATACAAGATTGGTTCTGCGGATGTTCCAGGCAGAAGTTCGTTCTTTTCTCAGGTGGGTACTTATTTTTGAAAGAAAATAAAAAGAAAGGAAAATGAAAGGAAAGAGTAAGAAGAAGAAGAGGGGAGAAAAAAAGGAGAGTCGAAACAAGTGCTGGGTTCGACCGATCCATACCAGGTACCTGTTCATCAGGTATCTTTTGTCTATGCCTTGAACACAGCAACTGAGGCGATAAGTTCAAGCTCATACTTCGACACCAGGGTCCAAAGCTATCAAGTCCATTGATAGTCTACTATGGCCCGTGTTCGGGCGATTCTCCTCGAGTGTCGTTGTTTGATTGTTCTTCGTGATGATGCGCTATGTGCCAAGAAGCAGTATGGCCTGTCCTTCTACATCATCGCCTGTAAGTGACACTATTCATATCATGGCTTAGGGCACTCTTGGCAGGCTGGGGACAACAAACAAAACAACGCGCATTATGTTTTGCAAGACGCGGTCGTGTGATCATTTTGGTCGAAACTTCATTGGGCGTCAATGTTTCTATTTTCTGGCCGTATATCCCCTCTCGCGAATATAATCAGTACAATCACACTGAATCCAACTTCACTCATCTCTGCTGTGCACGGGTGACCCGAGCCCCCTCCCAAGAAAAAGCCAACCATGCCTCTTCCCGGCCCCGGAGAGCTGTAAAGGCCGCTGTCGCAACAGCTCGCCTCAAGCTAGCCGCCGATTTGAAGAAAGGCACCCTAGCCATGAGAAATTCTATCGTGGACTTTTTGGAGATCGACGAGATGAATATGAAGGATGTCCAGAAGCAATGCGAGATACTTGGAGGGAAGATTGGGCGGTTCGTTCGTCTGTTCTCGAGGCGTCTCAAGGAGCATGTTGAATCTTTGGAGGGAGGAGAGATGGACTGGTGGGTGGTGCACGCGGCAGTCGAATGTGTTATCAGCGTGATTGAGCTTGTCTACTATGATGCTGTGTCGCATATGGACAGGAACCCAGATGTGAACTGGACGAGCCTCGAAGTTTTAGGCCATCTTATACGGCACGGCGTTAAGGAGGGATGGGGTGGTACGCGTTCAAGCTGCTCTTTGAAACCGGAATCGGCCGAAGGGGAATGGTGCAATGGGTCCGGAGCAAGCCCGACATGTTCGAAAGGTTGAAAGAGCTGGTTCAAAATATGGATAGGTGTGGAATGGGGAGGACGCAGAACTTCTCCAGGGCGTTTTCGTGCCAAATGGGATTTTTTGAAAGATAAGGGGACTCCATACAGGGGGCTAAAACTCCAGTCGTTTCCCAGTCTTGAGACACAAAGCCATTCCCAAGACGATACCTATGTTCCTGTTATTTCACCCCTTCCATTCTAGATCCTGGACACAGCACATAGAAACGTGAACAACGAGGCGGTCGCAAATGGAGATCAAATAGACAAACAACCACCTGTACAAGCCTCCTCAACTCCAAGACAGCTTACGAGACCATCACGTTGTTGACACACCTTAGATCAACACTGAATAACTCAAACACAAACAGCAAGCCCAACTAGTTTCTCGACACTACACTAGAGAAGCGTAACATTGGGCCATGCAGATGACCTCTTCCCCTTCCTCCATATCTGGGTTCAGTCCGCCATCCGCGCCCACCAAAAGCGTTTGTCCTACCGCACGCAAGGCTACCCTGTTGTCAGCACCAAAAGGAGAGCATGTTCTGTTCTTACACCGAAAACCTGTATCTTGTTTCCAGGTCCTTAGGTCCTGTCTTCCGTAACGCACATGGGCCATTCAGGTCACAAACCACCCCACAACGAAGTCCTTTTTTTGAGCTTTGCATCCATTGTTCATAGGGAAATTTTCCCTATTCTTCAACCTCCCCTTTCTTCCCACAAGCTGGCTTACTCGCGCTTATCTTGACAAACTCCAAGCGGCAACACGTATTTGGTGATCCACTCCATCTCCTCATCGCTAAACTCGCGGGTAGAGTCGTTTCCGTTCCAGGAAGGTGAGTTCAGACGGTCAACTACATCCTGGACGTCAATGATATAGAGGTCTCTACCTCTGTAAATGCTCACAGTCTTCCTGGCTGGAGTCTCGGGCATGCCACGGGCCGCCTTGTCCTCGACTAGCTTTGTAAGCTCCCATTTGCGCCTGATAACATGACCGTTGAACCGCCGGGCAATCGTCCAGCCCAGGCTCTGATCGGAAGGAATGACAGAAGCAAACATATCGGCGACCGTGAAGGGAGGTAAATGAGAGAGCATCGACGACACGATTGCGGCAGACAGATGGCTAAGTGAAGCAGATCTGACAAAGGGACCCGGAAGGGATTCGAAACCCTCTACGTCGCCGTTTCTCGCGCACTCAATCTTCCGTGGGATGATGAAATCGTTGAAGCGCTCGGCGATCTTCCAGGCTTGAGATTGGTTATCAGAGACCACAGATGTGAACTTGTCGATGACGGTGTCAAGGGGTAGATAGGAGAGTATGAATCGGATGTCTTCTGTCGCAATGTGGCTGCCTGGGTTCAATTTGATGGGCTTTGGGAGGACCGCGAGCTGTTCGGACGCAAACTGGTTGGCGCCAGAATCTGCAGACGACGCTCGACGCCGCTTGCGAGGAATCGCGGGCGAAGCCATGGTGAGGGGAAGAAGGTTGATAGTTGGTGAGTGAGGTACTACCAGAAGATGGTGACAAATGAAGTCTTGTTCCCGCGGCAGCGACGAACCGAGTCTATGGAAGGAAAATAAGAAGAAGGAGGTTGGAAAACAGCTTGAGTCGCGAGGCCTCAGCTGTAGGTGATTGTGGGCGAAAGCAAGTTTACTGCGTGGATCGTTGCGGAAGGGTGCAGGTTGATGCAAGAGCGAGAACCAGGCTTCCACCCAGACGACTACCGTCAACAATTTCATCTGGACCTTGCTAGTTGAGTCTAAAATCAAGCACTGTTTTGGAACCTGGAGTTTGCGCCCACAGGGCAGAGTGCTGTTTCCCTTGAAGGTTGATCTTTAGGGGACCAGTTGCTTGCCTGCCTGTACCAACTCCTCCATTCACCTTCAAGGCAGGCCACATCAGACGGAAGGCACATCCTGTACTGCAGAAGGAAATCGATGATGGCTGGCACAGAAGGAGCTCAGGATTTCTGAGGAAGCCACCTGCACTCCCAAGTAAATAAAAGGCGGGCACTTACGGTTGGGAGTCTGATTGGCCACGAGAAGATCGGAGGTAGGTAAAAGCTTAAGCTCCGCAGGTCTTCGGCTGGTCTTCTTTGCTCCATAATCAAACACTTTTCCGGGTCTTTGGATCCCATATGTCCTTTTTCCTTGCATGAACTCTGGGGGATAGTTCATCTGACCGTTGGCGTCGACCAGAAGTGCCTCCCAAGATGAAGCAGATTTATGTGAGTGAAACTGATGGATTGGCTGACAGGGAGAAGGAAGGAGTAGGACTGCCAAGTTCATCTCCAACATTCCGCTTTATCTTCGGGAAGAAAACTGAGGCGAGTCACGACATGGTAAGGTATTGCTCTCAGTCAGCTCCCCTCTTCAATCAGAAACCCTACAGCATAATCCCAAATGGTCTGACAACTTCTGCATCCTCGTCATATCCACCCCAGCCCGAGCCATCTTCTCGAGCAACATGCCAAACTTGGTATGTAGGTCCTTGTCCGACTTCATCCACTGAGCCAGCTTCAACATATCAATCGGCGTCTCAAACAGAAGCTTGAACAGCAAGTCGCCCAGCTTCTTTTTGGCACCATACGCCCTCAGCTCGTTCGGTGCTTCGACGACCTTCAACTGTTCCTCCCCCGACTCTGCAACGACCTTGAGCTCCACGGGCAGATAGACATACTCGAGCATGCCAATGACCCCCCTAATTGCCGCTTCCTCCACTATCCAATCATCCACCGTAGTGAACAAAAAGTGTGCCTCCAGCCGTCCCGTAGCCTTGTGGATGGAGCCTTCAACCCGCTCGCCAACGTCGCGCATGTAATCGGTCATGTAGGCCTTTCTGTGTTTCCCCCCTTCACGCATCAAAAGGAACTCCACGATGCGCTCCTTGACAGCCCCAGATTCTTTGGTCAGAAGTCCAGCAAAGTCTCATTATTTCTCCTTCAAGAGTTTGTCACGTTCTCTCTCCCGCGACGCCGGTGTCGCTCGTCTCGGCGGCGGATTAACGGGTTCGACCCTCAAAACACCCCCTTCCCCTTCCACCACCCTCCCACGCACCCACACATCTTCCCCAAACTCCTCCTTCTTCTTCCTCTCATACTCCTTCCACACCTTTTGCCTCTTTGCCCTCTCCTCTCTCCGCTCTTTGTCCTCCTCCCTCTTCTTCATCTCCCTCCTCCTTTCCTTCACCTCCCTCAACCTCTTTATTTATTCCTGCGCCATCTTGCACTCCAAGTTCATCCTCATTCTTTTCAAGCAGTTAATGAACCTCTTCGCAATCGACCACGCTCTGCCCTGCCTGTCCGTCACGGCCTTCAAGTAATCCCAATTGCCAGCTTTCCCGTGATCTCCCATCCAGGTCAGCATTGCCGCGACATTCCTCTCAGAGAGATAATTGTGCGTGTTTTCGACGATGCCTTTTGGTAGACGAAGAAATTGCTCGTCGATGGGGAGGGCGGCAAAGGTGAGGTCGAGCTTGTTAGCGAAGGACGGGTCGAAGTCATCCCAGGGGTAGTCTTCGATATAATCAGGGGAGTAGTATTGCTCGGCGAAGGGTTTGACGTGGGCGCTGGCAACTTTGCCCCAAAAGGTAGATGGGTCTTCGCCGGGGTCGTCGATGGTTTTCAATTTGTTGCTTTATGGGGAGAATCGGTTTGTTCGTGTCTTTGTGTTTTTCTTTTTGGGAGTTGCGAGGAACGTTGTGAAAGTTGTAGCCCTGGAAGAAGATTTGTCATTGTTGCCTTTGCTAAAAGATTTCAAATCACGCACTCTATTGTCACACCACGATGACGGAAAGAAAGAAAAAACTGCATTGATCCCACTTCTGCAAGGTTGCTTTGGTTTGTAACCGCAACTGTAAAAAGATACCGTCCAGACCATGGTAGTTGACACGGTAACCGTTCGCGATACGTGAACATGTGCTGGCTATGTCGCGTGTGCCGATGGCCAGGAAACCCTTTCCCATCGAATCAGTCCACTCACGTCTTCAGATCAGATCAAGTCACACACTCACATCTCGATATTTACGTCTAGACGAGGCTGGTCCCAGAAAGAATAGGCAGGCTCATATTTTGTCACAGTTCAGTTATCAGACCCAAGCTACAGTTATCATGACAACAACAAGCCGAAAAACTTCCGACAATGTAGTAAAAAAATTTTAAGCTTTTCTCCATTTCGGGCCTTTCTTTGCTTCTGTGCGTTCGTCATCCATCATTCCTTTCGTTTGTGATCTTTTTCGTAGTTTAGATTCAATCACGCTTTCCACCAGTTCATGACCACGGAAGTAAAAAGCAGAAAATAAAGACAGTTCAGCCTGAGACAAACTTGTAACACATTATCTATCCTCAAAACACGCTACATCCTGTCCTGTGTTGGATGAATCGCCTAGGAAGCCATGTAGGTAGAGGCATCGATACCCTCCTTAGGGAACTCACTAAGCAGGAAGTTAGTATCCGTTGTTCATAAGGTGAGGGGAGAAGTGTCAGGTGAACTTACGGAAGAGCGACCTCGAAGCGCTTTTCAATGGCCTTGAGGACCTCCTTGTCCTGATCAGTGGTAACAAAGGAGATGGCAAGACCCTTGGTACCGAAACGACCAGCACGACCGACACGATGGAGGTAGGAATCGGCATCAGCGGGGAGATCGTAGTTAATGGCAAGGTTGATGCGCTCGATATCGATACCACGGCCGAAGACGTCGGTGGCAACGCAAATACGCTTGTTAAACTCCTTGAATTCCTTGTAACGACGGATACTACAAGACAATCAGTACCTGAACGCAGAAAAATACAAGGCAAAAATACATACCGCTCCTCTTGGCTCACACCAGAGTGAACAGCGATTGACGGGAAGTTGCACTCGCGCAAAAGCTTGTCGAGCTCAGTGGCACGAAGAGTGCTCTTGACGAAGATGATGACCTGGTTGAACTGAAGTTCATCGAGAAGCTCGTTGAGCTTGCGGTTCTTCTCACGCTCCTCAAGAGGAATGTAGTATTGCTGAAGACCGTGGAGGGTCAACTTGGTGTCTTCGTCGACGTAGTGCTCAGTAGGGTTCTGCATGAACTTGCGGCAGATAGGCTTGATCTCATCCGAGAGGGTAGCGGAGAACATCATAACCTGCTTCTGCTGAGGAGTAGCGCGGAAGATCTCCTGGACGTCGCGGCGCATGTCTAGTTGAGGGTTAGTGACCATGGGCTGGCTGATGAATACCAAGAAACTTACCAATCTGGTCGAGCATCTTGTCGCACTCATCGAGGACGAACATGCGGACACTGCCGAGACGGAGGTGCTTGTCGCGCACCAGAGCGTTGAGACGACCGGGAGTACCGACGATGATGTGGGGGTGGGTCTCCTTGTTCTTGAGGATCTCGGCATCCTTCTGGATGGGAGTACCACCGTAGAAGACGCCGGTCTTGATGTCGGGCATGTACTTGCTGAAACGGTTGTACTCGTTGCGGATCTGGAAGGCGAGCTCACGAGTGTGGCACATGACCAGGACGGAGCACTCGCCGGCGACGGGCTCGACTTGCTGAAGAGTGGTAAGAACGAAGACAGCCGTCTTACCGAGACCGGACTTGGCCTGGCAGATGATGTCACCACCAAGCATGGCCTGGGGGATACATGTCTGCTGAACTGTATTCGAGGACCGGATTAGAATCGAGTTATGCAAGCTTTGAATTGGGCACGAAGAAGGACGGGGTGGTATCGAGAGCGAAGGGCCCGTCCATCGTCGCAGCAGCAAAAAGACTTGTTCCGGTTATCCATTCCTCCCGTTGTAGGTGCGTGTTGCCGACATCATATTTGTTCTGAACATGGATCGAGTGAAGAGACACGTCTCGTGATGGTGTCATCCATTGAACGGTTCCATGACATCACCAGTCATCAACGACTAGTACAAGCGGTCGACGACTCTTTCGAGACCGCGGGGACAAAGTCTCCCTTTGACCGGGGATCCCCCATTGAGGGCCCAAGGGTAGTTAGCCCGAGGGTGAGCCTTTAGGGTGATCGCTCTCCGCTCGCCATTGTGCCATTTCCACTTCGGCACCGTGATCGTGGTCGCATGTACCGTGGTGCCAAATTCCAGCAGCGCTCAGAGGCGCGAACAGCCTACGCTCGTTTCCGAGACGCAAAGCGTGAACAAAGTGATGATGTTGGTCGTAATGGTGGACGTTCCAACGCCAAAGCACCACCTTTCCTCCCCGAGGTGTATAACGGCGGCGCGCGTTTCAGCGCTCCTCTTTCGACGTGCGAATTGCCCATAATGACGCGGTATAGTCTTTGTATTTGCTTGCGATGATGGACGGAACCCGATTTGGAGGCAAGATGTGTAACGATAAGCTGGGGGTAAAATTTGTCAGGACTAACCCTCCGAGGGATGCTCGAAACCGCAGTCGGCGATGGCGCGAAGAAGTTCGGGCTTCAGCAGGAAGTCGCGGAAACCAGTGGAGTGGATGCCGACGTAGGAACCCTTCTTGGTGTCGACAGTCTGGCCGGCGGGGACAGCCTCAGCCTTCTTGCCGTTGGTGGGAGCGGCGGACTCATTGTTGAGCTCGTCGTCGGAGTAGTCGATGAGATCCTCTTCGGCAGACATGTTGGCGGTTGGTGTGGTGGTGGTGATGATGAGTGGTGGTTGATTAATTAGTGATAGACGTGTCGTAGCTGGAATGCGGCTGCGACAACGACGACAAAGGCGACAACAAAGCTGGAGAATAGAAATCCGGTCAAAAGAAAGAAAGTTGAAATTTGCTGGAGTCGAATGGGGTTGCGCAGACCAGTCGAGGCAGAAGGCTACGTGATGCTGCGGAGATGAAGTGGAGAGAAGAAGAGGCGACGCGCTGATGGAAGTTGGAAGATGTTGAAAAGTCGGAGGGGGAAGGGCGACGCAACCAGGCCAAAATAAGCAGCAGGTTCAGGTTCGCTCCTCCAGTCACGCACCCGCCGCACCACCACCACCCAGCCGTGACCCGCCCGTGACTTGGCGTGACCTGCACGAGGCGCAGGCGTGGTCGCCCGTTGCTTTCAGTTCCAAAGGCCCAAGCTCTCTCAAGGTTTCAGGAGGGCGCCAGCTGGCAGTTCGCCTTGTTTCACAAGGTAACTGTGGCTGAGCACCCCATGTTGGCGTCATGCCAGCTGCTTCCCAGTCCATGACGCATTGACCCCCTTGGAGCCTTTCTGGACCTTCACTCCCTTGCAGCGCCGCACTCATCCAGTGAATGTCAATTGCATGCCAGTCTTGGCGCTAATTGCAAACGACAAAGAACAAACGGGCAATCGTGTGTCTCAGAAACAGTGAATGGAGACAAAACAAGCATTTCAATAAATCCTACCAAAATAAGACAAAAAACAAAGCAAAAACCTTACACAACACGGGCACAGTACGGATCCTTCACCGAAAATGGCCAAAGCCGGCGGTAAAAACAACGGCGGGGTCCAAAACAGGGCAATCTACTCCCGCGTCTCCTTCCTCCAGCAAGCCACCGTTTTTCTATCTCAGCAGTCACACCCACGGTCACAAGCACCCGGACAACAACTCAAGGTCCCTTCCAGCCCCGCCCTAGAAGGCATATCCCGCCGTCTGGCTACCGACCTCCGCTCCGTGTCTCTCAAGACCCGAATCCGTCTCAGCCCTGCCGTGAAGCGGACCATATGCAAGTACTGCGACTCGGTTCTCATTGACGGATCAACATGTACCACATCAATTGAAAATAGGAGTAAAGGTGGACGCAAGCCGTGGGCGGATGTCATGGTAAGGAGGTGTCATGCGTGTAAGAAGGAGAGGAGGTATCCCATTGATGCGAAGAGGACGAAGAGGAAGACGGAACGGGGAGTAAAAGGAGAAGTAGAAGCGGCTGGGGATGCTATGGATGTTGATGTCCCTTCTGCTGGCGGCAAGGGGAAGGGCCAGAAACAGCAGGGCCAGAAACAGCAGGGCCAGAAACAACAGGGCCAGAAATAACAGGGCCAGAAACAGAAGCAGAAACAGCATCAGGGTCAAGTGGAGGTGGAAATTCGGGATCAGAAAGGCTGAAGAAAGTCGAGGCTGGACGGCGCCCTCAACTGAGAGAAACGCCTACACCTAGACATGTGTCCGAGGGGCACGCCGAGGATGTTGTTGGACTGGTTAGACAGTCCGTCGAGAGAGTGCCAACGAGCCGCATTCCTGTTCCCGAGAAGCACACCATGTCTACGAGATGTTTCCATAGCCTAGACATGGCGGATATGTTGGCCATGTCCATTCAGGTTCTTGCCGTGTGGTCTTGAGCGTACGCGAGGATATCGCCGGCCTGGGAGAATTATAACAGCATATGGACGGCAGCCAGGCCATGAGTTGGCCCATGGTCTCGATATCGACCCGGCGAGAGCTGTCGCTCGTGGCAAGCGCTCTCGCCGGGCCCAAGGTCATGCTGAAGGAAGACAGCCTCTCGCGCAGCTGCTTCGCCCCAGCCGTTGCGGGCTGCCTACTTGAGGACAACTGAGGATTCCGTGACATGTACGGACGTTGATCGAACTGGAGGTTATTGGAAAGTCAAGGATTGACTGTGATAGCTCCACGAACAAATACAATACAAGCTTCGGGGCACAGTCCTCACCATCCATATTCGATGCCCAGTAACTGATCAGTCGTGAAAGTGACATGGTATCATTCATTGCTTTGCTATGCATAACTCTAAGTCGCTTATCATTGTGGTTGCTTTGGCCTCCTGTTCCTGCTTGCTCTCGCTTGTTCAAGCTGCGTGTTTCCGTAGCCTAACTCGACCACAACAACCTCAGCTCAACACACATGCCCACGTACATCTTCACAATCATCCTAGCAGACAATCACCTCTGCTGGCCACCATTTCCACCTTGTCCACCCTGCTGGTGTTCAACAACTACCTGCTGAGCCTGCACACTCTGGACGCTCTCTTCTCCCAGGACTTTACTCGCAGCCATGAACCTAAATATCGGAAATTTCCGTGTTAGTGCCAGCCTGAATGAGAGCTAGACGGAGATAGGAACTTACAATCCACCATGCCAACTCCCTAACCCCCTCATGCACTCGGCCTGCACGCTAGTCATGCGCAAGAGGTTTTCCGTGTCGGCGAGGTTGTTGGATAATTGAGTTAGTTGGGCGTGGAGTTGGGACTGTTTTGGGGCGTTAGCAGACATGGCACACAATCTTGAAGCAAATGAGTTAAAAACATCATCAACGGATATATGATGCTGCTATCTTCTTAGTTTACTGAAGATGCCTTTTGGCGTGCGCCAGTTGAAGACGTTGCCGTACACTCTACACTCTACACTCGCGCGCAAGATAGAAAGAAATGAGGAAGATGAAAGAACGAAGAAAGGAAATAAAACATACAATCTGCCTAGCCTTAACCGCTGCACCACTCTGTCCGGAAGTCGAAGCGCCAGGCGCCATGGACTGCCGTCCTCCGCCGTGGCTACCACCACCGTGCCCGGCTCCGGCCCCGGCCCCGCTGCTGATTTGCGTGCCGAAGATGGTGTTGCGGTGGCTTGCCATATTGCTGCAGTGCTCAAACTGTGTGAATTTTCAAAAGCACAGTATTAAATTTTTGAATGGTTTATTTGGTGAGCTGATGTGCCTGCTAAGAGTCAAGTGGCTTATTGGTGAGGTGCTTATTGAGTGTCTTGTGTGTGTTTGGTTTGTTATGATGTTGTTTTGGCGATGTTTGGCGTGGTGTGGCTGCTTGAGGTCGTCAAAGCGCCAGGCGCGCGTGGAGGTGGTGGGAAGTCGGGTGTTAGTGCGAGCGCCTGAGGTGCGCTGCGAAGATTAGCGTTCTCGCTGTAGCGCTCGCTAATTCCACTGAATATAGCACCAAGCACTCAGAATGGGACCTGATGTTACTGTATCTAGTGGCTGAACAGCGCCACCAAACGCATGCACTAACAATAAGGTATCTTCATCTCAACCAATTCACCTCGTCGGCTCGCCCCCTTCGGCGAGCACGGGCAGAGTCTTCCATGGCCCTCGCTGGCTATCTTCTCCCGACATATCAGGCCATTGTCCAAGAGAAACTTCGGGATACCTTAGGTTCCAGACCGGGAAGCTTCGTGTGCTCTTGGAGATAGAAGAGAGGAACGGGCCCTGCATTCACGGGCTGCAATGGGAGTCTCCCGAGGTTCTCAGATCACCCATCCCGGACCCCTCTCGTATTCTTCCGTACCCTCCTCCTCGGGTCCCAGACCGTGTACAACACACACAACACACACAACACTCGACACGAGACGAAGAAGACGAGATGAACCCGAGAATGGTGCAGGGTCGAAATGTGTCCATCAGTTACCTCCTTGCCTTGCATGCCGTGCCTGCCTCTGCCGTCATGCGAATCAGAAAGTCCAGACCAGATAGCGACGAAGAAGTCACGGTCAATTCACGTTCGGCTTCATATAAAGAGGAAATGAGGTAGTGAGAATGTCAAACCCATCTTTAGGATAAGAAGCTTGCCCATACCTTCACCAATAAATCTATGCACAGTTTCTCTCTCGACCACACTTATGAAGCTACGCCAAAGAGCCCCCCTCAAGAAAGACAAAAGAACAGTAGACCAAAAGAGGAAATATGTTGTGTTGATTACCATGCCTTCGTCCGATCAGTCCAGTACGATGATTCAGTCTCTCCGTTTCCCATGCGCCGCGTCGTTCCGTCCTGCTCCTTCCATGAGTCCATCCATCTACTCCATCCATTTAATCCTGGCGTCGTCCTCCTGACTCCAATCCCGACTCTCTCATCTCGTCCTCGGCCCCCGTCTTTTCCTTTTGCGTATGAGCTGGCTAGTTACGGAGTGCGTCTGTTGCCAATTATTTGCCGTCTCGAGATTCGTCGTCGGGGACCTAAATAGAAAACGTATATCGCCGCATGGACAGTTGGACTCAAGTCGTGTGTACCATAGAACAGGTGATGTAGGGTAACTGTTTATTTTATTCGCGTCTCGTACGTTCTTGTCTCGTTTGTTTGTTTGTCCAGCGTTCGATTGATCGAATTGATTTGTTTTTAACAGAGGAAAAAAAGAAACTCAAAAAAAAGTATTTGATAATAACCGCCGCCTGCCAACCAGTAGTAGTCCATAATGATCTTAATCTTTCACACATCCCGCGTCCTTTCTTTCATCGCACACACGCGGCACACACGCCTTTTCTTCTAACCAAATAGTGTCTTGTGTTCCCCCAACCAATCCAGCCCATACGTATCATTAAGTAAATTGAATGAATGCATTCATCCGCCTTCTCTTCTGCTTCTTCTTCTTCTTCTTCTTCTCCTCCTTCCGTCCGTCTTCGACTGCTGTGCAAAAAGGGGAGATATCGATAGGTAGGGGCTAAAATATGTGTTGCCTGATGAGAAGTGGTAATGATTCCGGGAGAGAAAAAAAAAAGGAGTAGTAGCCAGTTCGTTTATAAATGACAAATGCTTCTTTCCACCACCGGGTGTTCACACACGCCAAAACGGCTTGTTCCAAAAAGCCAAACTCCGTTGTCCCGTTTTGTGCTTAGCGCACTCCAATGGGTGGACGAGCTAGGCTACTCTGGCTGCTATGTGCCGAGGGTTCCGATGACTCGAGCTGATGTGTAGAATCACCACTCGCCGCGCTGGCGCTTGCACTACCAGTCAGACTTCGAACATTTTTGGACATCATGGTCTCTGGTGGTTGGAGGGCGCTCACCCCGGCATGCTGTTCCACCTGCTGCGGCACGACCGCGTTTCCGTGTCCTGGGGGATAACGGGGCATGGGCTGCCTCATCCCTTCCGGAGGCGACGGTCGCCCGCCGCCGTTCATGTACGGCGCGCTGTAGCCGTTTGGTGGGGAAGGGCGACCGCTACCGCCCCTCATAGACGGGCTGTATGGGTTCCCTGGTGATTGACTGGCGCGCCTCGGCATGCCTCCGTGTGGCGGAGGGCCCTGAGTGTACTGCAGCTCATCCAGACGGGCGGACGTCAAAGAGTTTGTCCTTGATTCCATGTGTATCGCTCCCCGGTCCACATGGCCATACCGATTCGAGGTGAAGCTCATCAACGGGTCGTCCAAAACGTTGTCGTGCAACCCCGGAATATCGGCGACGATTTGGCTCGATCGGTTCCGTCCAAACTTCGGCCTAAACCTACTAGTCCGGGAAACAGGCGCATTGGGCTCGGGGTTCTTGCGCAATTGGTGATGATCGTTGGGGGCTTTCCGGTTCTTCTTGGAAGTGACGCTCATCATGTCAAAGTTGTCGGGATCGATCAGTGGCACGGGAGGCGCAGAAGCCGGGTCGTAGAAATCGTCGTCGTCATCATCGTCATCGTCAAAACCGCCGTTGTACCTCGATGGGGGGCCCCTTCTGGATCCCGGCGGGGGACCGCCAGCAGCAGCAGCACGTCTTAACCTCATCTCTTGCTCCCTCAAGGCGAGCTCTCGTTGCCGCAGCTGCAACTCTCTTTCCCGCAAAGCCAGGTCGTGCGGCGAATAACCGCCCTCGCCACCTTCTGGAATGTCGTCGTAAAGCACCAAATGGCTAAACTCTTCCAAATCAGCTCCTTCCATCGAACCCCTCCTCGACGGCTGTCGGCTTCCACTGGTTGGTGGCCTGGGGTATCCGTTGGGTGGCGGTGGACCGCCGTTCAGGGTAGGCCTGCGCATGCCGGGTGGTGCTCCCAGCTGCGACGAGCCCCTAGGGCGCATCCGTGGCAACCCGTTTCCGTTGGCCACGCCATTTGCACGTGGAGTACCTGGCGTTCCCCGGGGCAGAGGGCTAGCAGAAGGCGATCCTGGCTGAAGAGGCGGGCCCAGAGCATCCGCCTTGGGTTTGCTGCGGTTGGCGATGTTGGTGTTGTGAAGGAGGGCGTAGAGCGTCTCGATTCGTGGAACTGATACCCCAACTTCTTGGGCTAACCTGATAGGCGAGCCGAGATATGTCTCAACCTCCATTGGGCGTCTCGCTACGTAATCTTGCCACATCATATTCTCCGTTGTTGTCCTCGCAAATTCATCAATGGTGTTTTCTTGAAGTCGGGCGGGAACTTGCAGCCTTGTGCGTCGGCCACGGCTAATAGCTCGTCAACGACATCTGATATCAGCTTGGCCACGCCCACCTTGTCGAGGAGCTGGCCATAGTTGGGTGTTTCGAAGAGCACTGTAAGAGGATGGAAAGCAATTGGGCTGCGAATCGGTTAGCATCTCGACCTTGAGCTGACTGTCCCAACGATGGACGACGTACCCAATAACTCTCTCGAACTGCTGTTGCCGAATGTTACTCGAGACCTTACAGTCGACCTGACCAGTGCTGAGGGTCATAGCCAGTGCCTGCGCCATATCTTCCTGTATCGAAGTCGGAATGTTGGAGTTCTTGTTTGCGGCGCCAACCCAGACTTCTGTTGAGCCCTTGTGCTCGAATTCGCTTCCTCCGAGCTGAGTGAGCTCGGCGCCGCAGACCAGCGAAAGGACTACATTAGTGGGGAATCGTTCTTCAATAGCTGATTCGAGGCCGAGCGAGTGTGTGGTATTAACAAGGATGCAAGTATGCTGCGGAGTGACGACGGAATCGATCACGGACGCCAGGTCGTAAACATCGGGAAGGGCCTTTATACAGAGGATGACATAGTCGAATGCGCCGCCCTCTCTGCGGGTGGCAGCCTCTTCGGGTGCCCGGACAACTGCGTCATAGCATCACGGATCAGCACAACGTTCGACGGTCGAGCGCACTCACGCAGGGGTAAATAGTCCTGGGGAACACGAGAGGGTTGTTGAGGAAAGCTTACCATGACGAGGCTTGAAGCGCTCATTGCCAAAGACCGGAGATCTAGACCCAGCAACACCATGTCAGCACTGGGTATCCGGATGCGTTGGGACCAGAGTTTTTGCGACTCTGTTGCGCCCGGAAAACGAGAAATCGAATTGCGAATCGTCAACGTACTTGAAGGAGATTCCGTATTGCGCAACGTGCTCGTAGCCTGTCTTCCATACTAGAGTGACGTCGCAGGCATTTGTTGCTTGGAGGCGCCACGACAAGAAGGCAGAAACCGAATTTCCGCCCACTGTAACAACATTCATCAGCTCATTACTCTCCGACATGTCTGGTTTGCGCGTGTTTGTGAACCGCAAGCGCAGCAGCTGTCCCCAAAAAAATAATCAAAGCAGAAAAAAAAACGAGTGTGGTGTTGACGGCAGGGTCAGTCAAGCAAAGGTTCTTTCAGGTCTCGGAAGTGGGAAAAAGAAGTTGGACGAGGGAGGGCCGTCAAAGAGATAATAGCGTGTGTGTGTGGTAAGGATGGATAGGATAGCGTAGCCCACTTTCTTTCTGGTCAAGACTGGCTGGTCCCGGAAAGCTGGCGTAGCACTAGCGAGAGGTGAGGTAGCGGGTACAATGGATAGCATGAACAGGAGAGCGGAGAGCGTGGGAACTGGTACATGGGTGAGGATGACAGGGAACACTCGTTGCTGACTGCTTGAAGTCAAGGCAGAGGGCCGGTGCCGAAACGACTCGACTCCAATGTCTCCATCCAAGCAGCTTTTTTCTTCCATGGACCTGTAAAGGCCCAGTACCTGAACCTGTATCGTAGTGGTATCCAAGTGGTATCCATCCAAACAGTGCTGAATATGAACTGGCGACTCACCTGACAGGATCTTGAGTCGGGGCGTCATGGGTGCCATTGCGGAGTCCCAAACCGGGATGGTGGGCTGTTCAGGTTTCGAAGCTGCAACAGCGGCAGCCTTCTTTGGTGCGAAGCGCTCAACCGAAAAGAGGCAGGACTGGCAGGATCAAGACCAACTTGAAAATCTGTCTAACCAAACCAAGGCCTGTTCCACCAGCGCGACCAAGACCAAGTCCCCTGTGGCTTGATTACCTCAGTGGTTGACGTGGGCTCGGTGTGCGTGGGATGGATGATGCTGCGTCTGTCTTTCCTTTCTTCTTTTTATTTTCCTCTTTTCGTAATCCCAATCTCGAATCGAGGTGAACCGTGGACTTGTTACTCCGGTATCTTTCTTTTTTTTTTTTGCTTCTTATTTTCTCCGATGTCTCTTCTTGTTCGCTTGTATGTTCAGTTATCGCTTCTTCCGCGGTAGGCGGTTTCGTTGTGCTTGTCGAAGTTTGCGAAACCTCTTAATCTCGAGCACGGCTCACTTCGCTTCGAATTCGCTTCTTGTTTGTCTCTTGTGGTTGTGGGTCTAGTTGTTATGCGAGGATACTGTATGGACTCCTCTCGACGACGCGCCTCGAGCGAGCGAGCGAGACAGCGTCAACTCAGCTTGACAGGGACAGTCGTGACAACGCAGCGGCAGCGGCAGCAGCAGCGCAGCAGCAGTCAGCGACAGCAGGGGCAGCAACAGTGATAGTGACAGCACACAGCAATGACAGCAGTGAGCCAACAGCAAGAGTCGAAAAGCAGCAATATAGGGATAGTCGCGGTTGTTCTGGGGGTTAGCGATTAGGCGATCCTGGGCGCTGGGCAGTGCTAATCAAGGCCTTCTAGCGGCTCCAAGTAGCGTCGGCCGGGTTAGACTAAAACGAGCGTGACGCCTTGGCAGCGATAAAATGTGGTAGAGGTATGCACTTTATAGAGCGATGACGAGGCGACTGAAGATGTTCCAAACTTCCAGTCTGGGGACCCTGGAGATTTGGATCGGAAGGGTTCGGTCGAGAAGAGCAGTGCTGTGGCTGAAAAGGCGAAATGGAACACGGCGAATTGTGGTGGCTCACTGACAAGACAGAGATCGGGGTGTCGAGGGTATGTAATGAGCCACGGCTACGGCCACGATATTGAGGAGCAACAACCTCAATCTGGACAGGGCGAGACGGGGACCGACGGTTCGACGGTTTCGATGTGCCTCGTTCGACCTTGTGTTTCGCGTGGAGCGAGCGTGTGTAGGTATGTATGTGCCTAGTTTCGTAGCGTGGAGATGGGGGAAGCAATGTAGTGTACGGTGTGGCAGCCTTTGTCCAGCCGTTCTTAGTGGTCTCACCAGCGTCGAGCTTGTGGTCGCCGGATGGATCTTGGTCCCAAAACCCAAACGGTGTCGACGAGCCGCTCGGAAACGTGCTGCGCGTTTGTCCGTGCCGTAGACAATGAAGGTCTGTAACGTGTAGTGCGAAGATGCACTAACAGCCGAACAGCAGCAGCAGCAGCATCAGTGAAGCCAGTGGAGGCGATGGATGGGATGTGACGATGGCGCCCGGGAGTGGTGAAGCTAGTGCTAACGAGCGGACTGGGTGCGGAATGGTCGAGCAATGCCGGTCGTGGTCCGTCGGCGGCGTCGTCGTTGTGGTGGATGCTCGCTCGTGGGTGGATGGATGATCGGTGTTGCACCTTGCTTTGGCGGTTGGTCTGGATCGGGCTTGGTGTCGCTCTCTCTGCTGGGCAGGCTTGGTTTCGTGGGTCTCTGGGTCCTGACAATTGCGAGGCCAGCGCCTGGCTGCTGGGGAGGTCCTGGGCTGCGGCTGGGGGGCAAGGGGTGGTGAAGGGAAGGCGCTTTCAGGGCTTCAAGCGAAGTAATCGGCCGTGGCAGAGAACGAAATGTGGAAGGAAGAGCAAAGTTCGAGACAGCAATGCAACACAGAACAGCTAGAAAGTACAAGCACGCAGAATATAAGCCACATTACATAGTGAATGCTTGTCCAAAAAAAAGAGAACTCCAGACTTTTCTCTACACCTCTTCGCGGTCGGTTGCCGGAAATGACGGGGATCTGAATGGCGTTGTTTTCTCTCCCCGTTTGCTTGGGTTGAGGGTTTGGAGGGAGGGGAGGGGAGGCTCTTAGTGGCATGGAAGGTAGAACATCGAAACCCCGAACCTGGGCCCCATGAGGTGTGAAATAGGACTTCAGTTTGCATATGGCTCGGATAAGGCATCCAGATATGCCATCTCACTGCACAACCGGCAAGTCTACCTACCTTATCTTGCCTACCTACCTCACTCACTTGATGCTCGTGAACACTGTCAACTGATGCTTGTCGGTTCTATCGGTGAAAGAACCTGCCGAACGGGACGTCTATTTTGGTTCTGATATTGGAGACATGCGATGTCAGAAACGACGGAGAGCAGATCTCGCTCGTGCAGAACTTGACATGAGGGCACCTTCCGCATTTTCGTTTCCCTTGGAACCAAAACGTGACAGAGGAAACGGGCTGCTGCCGTTCGTATGAAGGTGACTCCTTCCCATTTTCTGTCTGTCCAGTCTTGGAGTCTTCCCGGTTAGGTTTCTTTGGACCTCTTGTGTGGAAGGTAGTGATGGCGATTGACCGATATGCGCTTCCCCTTGAATTTTGCACACAACTTCTCAACTACAAACCATTCATGTTCAAGGTTTGGTTAGGTACGAAGTCGATATAACAAACACACAGGTACGAACGGGCGGGCGGTGGGCAGGCTGGTTCGTGTTAGTGGTTCCATTGCTTTTACTGCATGCTTTTGGCTTCCACCGTTGGTCTTGAGGCGTCCTGTATTCCTTCTTCCCTTGCAAACATTAGAAAGGTGGAACTCTCCTTCTGTGTTGTGTAAGTCCCCGTCTATATCAAAGCCACAGTGACGGGAAGTGAGTTCTCTTGTTATCTTGTTCCTGATGCATGGAGGTGTTGAAAGTAATTACCGTAACCATCGTAACAGAGCCTCGATCCAAAGGGAGAAAAGCAGTAATTACCCTGTCCGGTTAAGTTCCGCGGCGTTACCTTACAGTACTGCTTGTTGAAAAAATGTCATAACAGCTGAACATGCCTTTGGCAGGCAGGCCAGCCTAGTCTAGCCCTCAGGAACAACGGATATGGCATAAAAAACGTGGCATAGGGAAGCCTCGTTCAAGAAAATGAATGGGGAAATGAAGGCGTCAAGGGACCTGGATGTTTCCTTGTCGTGCAAATGCTTCTTTCCCGTTGGAGATGTTATTGCCATGCCCTGCATTGAGGCTTTCAGTGGATGTTGGCAACTGCGAAACTCTTGGGGCGCTGGACGGCCGCTATAATGAAACTTTCAATTCGAGGCAGGGCGGGCACACACAGTGCGCATCTGGAACAAGACGCCAAGTGCCAGCCGCTGGTGGATATGTGTATGGTAAGGTAAGGATGGAATGATGGGTCGGTACTGATGCACGGGCTTCGGGAAGTGGAAGTCTCCGTCCACTAACTTGAACCGTACATAACTTTTTCAGCTGTGAATGTCTTGCACGGAGAGGACCTGATGCTGAAGCGAACGTCCAAGTTTGAATCGCAATCCAGCTTCAGTTGTTGGTAAAAGAATCTACTTGATTCCTTTTGTTGCACCTCCTGATATGGACTTCGTCAGTCTCTTGCTGACTTTCCGCTTCGAGTGAACATGAGGATAATCTCAAGGTTGAGGAAGTGAAAAATGAGAAAAAGGCCCTTGTGATGAAAGGCATGGATGGGACATCCGGTCCACTTCGGCTGAGGATCTAGGCAGTTAGGAAAATGTGATCCACCTTTGTTGCGTGTTTCTGCCGGTTCCACCGTGAGCACCACTTGGTTAAGGTAACACAGCCCCGATCTGTAAGAACCAAATCCCGTATTCGAGAATGTGTAATTTTCGGTTCGGTGACTTTGATGATGATACGAAGACTTTCTTGAAGACAAGACTTCAACCAACATGAGATGAACTGGAACTGACACCGGCCTGAAGATAGAAATGTGGAAAGAGAGAAACGAAAAAGAGGCTTGTTGTTGTTGTTGTCTTGAATGTCAACTCCCGTCACTAAATTAATTCGCAATGTTACAGGTAGAAACATGGCTTGGTCCGGTGTATAACGTGGCATTACGAAGCTTTCATTCACACTTTGGCTTCCGGTGTTGAGGTTGTTGTTTACACAAGTCTCGACCAACCGCAACGGTACAAAAGCTTTTGTGAACTTTGATACGTGCCGTGATGCCAAGCTGTCTTGCCCCATCTTGTCCCGATGGAAAGGGAACTGATGAAAAAGGGATGAGCAGATCACCAAGAAACTCCTGACGCGTCTTGGCTACAGGCCGTGACATGCCGAGCATGTAAGGTGTGTGGCTTTTACGACGGACCTCCCTATCCTTACATATGATCTGAGTAGGGTACTGACACTCGCCGGCTCGCTCGCCCTG